CCCCCACCCCAAAAAAAAAATAATAATAAAAAAAAAAACCCCAAACCCCTCCCCCACCTTTCAAACCCTCCCCCAAAATTTATTTTTTTTTTTTATTTAAATTTAATTTTTTTTCTTTTTTTTCCCTTTTCCCCTCCCCCCTCCCCCGAATTTTTTTTATTTTTATTTTATTTTAATTTTAATTTTTTCCATCCTCGGCTCCACCTGCAAAAAAAACAAACTGGGGGAATTTTTTTCTTTTTTTTTTTTGGGGGGGGGGGGAGGGGGGGGAGGGGAGGTGAAAAAAAAAAGGGGGAAAAAAAAAAAAGAAAAATTAAAAACTTAAAATTAGAGTGAAAAATAAAATTTGGGGATTTTTTTCGGGTTTTTTTTTGATTTTTTTTGGGTTTTTTTTGGGTTTTTTTGGGTTTTTTTTGGGGGTTTTTTGGACGGGGTGGGGGAGGGGCGGGCAGGCCCCTCCCCCCACCCTGAGGGGGGGCGGGGTTTTGTTTTTGGGGAGATTTTGGGGTTTTTTTTTGTTTTGTTTTTAATACGGGGAGTACCAGGAGGTGGCTCGGGATCGGCCCCTGCGGAGAGAAATGGGGAGAAAAGTCAGGGTTTTGGGAAAAAAGGTAAAAGTTGAGATAAAATGATCTGGAATTGACCCAAAATGACCCAAAATTGACCTAAAATGACCCAGAAATGACCTAAAATGTCCCAAAATTAACCTAAAATGTCCCAAAATTGACCTACAATGACCCAAAAATGACCTAAAATGACCCAAAATGACCCAAAAAGGCAAAATATTGACCCAAAATTGACCTAAAATGACCCAAAATTGAACCAAAATGACCCAAAACTGACCTAAAATGACCAAAATTGACCTAAAATGCCCCAAAATGACCCAAAATTGACCTAAAATGACCCAAAAATGACCCAAAATGTCCCAAAATGATCCAAAATTGACCCAAAATGACCCAAAATTGACCCAAAAATGACCCAGAATTGGCTCAAAATGTCCCAAAATGTCCCAAAATTAACCCAAAACGACCCAAAATTGACCTAAAATGACCCAAAATGGCTCAAAATGACCCGAAATGACCCAAAAAACCCAAATAAAGCCTAAAAAAATCGAAAAAAATTCGTAAAAAATCCCAAAAAATCCTAAAAAATTCCCAGAAAATTCCCAATCCCAAAAAAACCCCAAATATCCCCAAAAAGTTCCTAAAGACCCCAAAAACCCCCAAAAAACCCCAAAAAATCGATAAAAAATTGATAAAAAAATCCGAAAAAAATCTGAAAAAAATCGAAAAAAAATCGAAAAAAAATTGTAAAAAATCAGAAAAAAATCCTAAAAAATCCCAAAAAAACCCCAAATATCCCCAAAATGTCCCTAAAAAACCCAAAAAGCCCCCAAAAAACCTCACAAAAACCGATAAAAAATCCTAAAAAAATCGAAAAAAAATCGAAAAAAAATCGAAAAAAATTTGTAAAAAATCGAAAAAAAATCCTAAAAAATCCCAAAAAAATCCC